GGGGGGGGGGGGGGGGGGGGGGAGAGCGAAGGGGGACGGACATTTTCCTCTCCTTTATAACCCTTTTATATTTAAACAAATCCACGGATAAAGTATATGATTGTGAGTTTCCGGAATGGGTTGAAAAACAAACTTTAAGCCCCTCGGTGACAGTTCCACCCTTCGAGGTCAAAGTGATAGAAAGCAGAAGAGAAAATAAGCAGCTGTTCTAAGCGATCAGAGAGATGCCAGCTTGGAAGAACTTCTTAAAGGCACAGCCTCCCTCAAGTTTTAGTTCAGTTACCGCTGCCCAAACTCCCCATTCCCATTGTGCTCCATCACTACTCCTTCTTCTCCTTCTCCTTCTCCTTCTCCTTCTCCTTCTCCTCCTTAGTGGAAGTAGGATTGGTTCACTGCTTCATAGTTATAATTCTTTCTTATATTCAGCAGGGGAAAGCACAGCTTTCTTTCACTTGGAAATGGCACATTCGACACGTAGGAAAGCAGGGACTTCCGCAGATCAGGTTCAAGAAGGGTGTGATCCCACCAAAGCAAAAGCATTGTGCTCCATCAGCAATATGCATGAGATCAGTGGCAATCCCCACCCCACCCCAATGGAGCAATTCTGAGCAAGTTTACTCACTAGCCTCCCCCCGTGCTCAGCAGCGTGTCCTTCAAATCAAGCATAACTCCCAAAGATTTCTTTCATACTTCTTTTGTGTAATGCTCTTGGTGGATTTTTCCATTTCCAGCTTAGCTGACAGCTCTGGGATTTTCTAGTGGTCTCCCATCCAAGTTCAACCCTGCCTTTGAAAAACTCGCTGAAAGACAGCTCAGTGCTGCCCCCTCCTGGGAGGACTTTCACGTGCAGGATTAATTTGGGGGCCATAGTATGTTCCTTATGAGTTTTAGAGCAAGAGAGGACAGATTATTATAGCCGATAAGTCCTCGGATACCAAGTTCAGTCATTTTGAGACTGGGATTTCAAACTCAGTATCCAGCCTTTTTCAGCCAAGTAACATCTTTGATTTTGAAGTGAACTACAGATAGTGCCCTCCAACAAACCTGGATTTTAAAAAAAAGGAGGCGGGGCAAAAACTAAACTCGATGTAAAATTGAAATATACATTTAATTGCAATTAAGTGTCATTAAATATCACTCATCTGACTACTCCCCCCTTATTGAACACTGTTTCCTTCGGGCAAGTTAAAAATTACAGCTGGTGATCATCTTCTCTGGAGGAGAAATGACCGTGAAGATTTTGAAGGAATCTTTGATGCCGTAGACCTTTAGGAGGTTTAAGATTTCAGATGACCAATTCGAATCGATATCCTTTCAGCCTCGTAATATCTGAATAGATATAACAGGTCAAAACTGATTGCGTAAGAAAACTTTTGCAAAACCTCTCTATTCCGTGCATGCGCCACCAAAGCAACGGGTATCTTGGCGCATGGATCAGAAATGAAGTGGATTTTTCAATATAGTTCTCATGCAGTCTGTCCCAGTAAACCCATCTTCTCCAAAATAATGCAAAAACACGGGCCCAACATTATCCAGCGCTAATAAAGAGCATTTTTGTTCCTTTTTGGTGGGTGAATTGCATTATTGGGCGAGGAGATGGGGATAAAAGCTGCCTCGGGTTCCACCAATAATACTCGAAGGTCAGTTTTACCCAAATCGTGCTCTTTCACTAATTTTGAGGGGCTGTGGGGGCCGGCGGCAGAGAGAAAGAAAGCTTGCTGCTTCTCTTCGAATCAGGCCTCCCAGGGTGATCAAATTCCTCTCGAAACCCAGCAACGGATTTAGCAGATGAAATGCTTAAGAAAAAGCAGAGAAGACAGAAAAATCCCCAGACAGTCTGCGGGACTCGGGTGAAGACGCAAAATGCAGATTATTCGGCTTCAGAAACTGCTGTGCAGAAAAGACCAAGGCTCTTCCCTAGGCCTCCCAGAAGGGACTTTCAGTGTTCAGGACCTGGCCTTCTTCACGGCAGGCTCACTCCAGGGTCAATCCAGTTCAAGTCTTGCTGGACGCAACATGGACATCAAAGTTTGGCTGTTCTGCTGAGAATTTTTCTGCCAGGATCCACTCTGGGCAACTCTGGTCCTTTGCCCCATCCCTCTCTGGACCAGCATAAGCCGTTTAAAGATAAGAATTTGAATGCCGTGTTTCAGGGTGGAATTCAAGTCCTTCTCAGAAGAAGAAACAGGAGGGCCGTTAATACGTCAGGGATGATTGATCACCGTTCGATGGAAGTGAACTATCGTCTACTGAAATGATTCAGTCCACCAAGTCAGGAAGTCCCAAGATGACACATCATATCATGAAGCCTTCATTGTATTTCCAAGAAATGAATTAAGTTGCTCTCTTAAAGCAGTCAAGTCTTAGCTTTGCTACAAAAAACAGCCAGTCTTGAACCACCGATCATCCTCTTCACGGACCTCGGATGGAGCTAATGGTGAGTTGAATCCCAGCGATGTCAGCCAACCCAGATCCAGTTCGGGCCACCTCTAACTCTGTTCCTCCTTCTAAACAACCCCGCTTGGGCTCAACTCTTGGTGGCAGAGAACGGGAACATCTCCAGAGCCTCGTGAGCTTTTACACAAAAGAAGCCTTTTCCTATTTCTGAATGAACCACCTGGCCATTTTAAGCATTAAACATTTACTTGGAACTAGGCTTTGCCAATTTCATGGGTTCTTCTCGTAGGCACGTTTCTCATCTAGCATTTGTGGAAGACAAAGTCTTCTGGTATTGGTAATCTGGAGGTCACATTAGACCCAAGCAATCCATAATTCCTGGAGCCTGGTGATAAAAGTACTTTCAGGCTGAGTGGGGAAATTCTGGGCACTAAGATCTCACAGATATATAAACAGATCCAGTGAAGTCTTGTTTTTATCCCCAGCTGCAAACACACAATTTTGCTCCAAAAGGGCATAGTAATTGCATACATGGGAGGCTAATAAGAAAAGCTGAAAACAACATCTCTGTGCACTACAGTTCCTGGGTTACCAGTTGCATAGCAATCCTGGTTATGAAGAACCTCTAACATTCCAGATCTTACCAAACTGAAACTCGTGGCATCTCTCATGATTGACCACACCGTCTGGGGCTATAAGAGTTGTACTGTCAGCAAGATGTGGAGAACCTCAGATTTCCCACCCCAGCCACCATACCATTTTAATGGGTTGTGTTTTTTGTAAAACAGAGACCTTGCTCCTCCCAAATTGTCTTGATTCTCTTTAGTGAAGAGCACATCAGACCCAACCCCACAGACTGTGTAAGAGGGCATTTGCAAATAAGTCATCTATTTTTCCCCCGACACCTGTTCAAGTTGACATCTTTGGAATTTGTTCTTCCTTTCTCCTGCCGAGATGGGTAAAGGACCCCCATCTAGGCACTGTTGGGTTGCCAGCCCCACAGGGTTGGTAAAACGAGGGTGGTGAACATTTTTAATTTGCAAGATTTGCATTGTAAACTGCCTTAGTTCCTCCGTTCAGCCTCCTCACATCTGAACTGATTTAAACAGGAACAGGTCACCTTTAAGAGCTTTGCACCATTTTTTTTTTCAAAACAAGCAAAGATCAGTTGATTGACTGCACTGAACAATCTCCTACCTTCTCTTTTCCGGCTCTTCATCCATCATGTCACTAGATGTAGTTGTGCTGGATGGGGAAGGTGCCTTTTTAAGGCGGGGGTAGGCGGGTGGGTTGTTGATAAATGAAGTCCTGGAAGGTTTGCGTCTCATTAATGAACTCCAGATACTCACCCGATGGTTTTGATAGGCCGTGACGGCGGTAAATCGAGTCTCCTCGAAGACAAAGGTCTTAAAGTTCTCCTCGGCATACTTCTCACTGTCTTTTCGCGGGTCCACGTAGACCACGTGGAAACGTGGCTGGTATCTGTGCATGGAGTTCAAAATGATCTGAATGACAAAACGAGCAAGGAAAATCATATAACTGGTCCATTCGGCCACACCAACGTGGGAGCGACAAGAAAAAAACTATCCCTCACCCCCCAAAATGTTCGGGCAGAACAGGCCACCTGAGGTTTGCCCTATAAAAAGGAGTTTAGTCCTTGGTCAACTCAACTGGGCAAGAAGATGATGGGAGAGTTGTCCACCATATTGGCTGGGAATAATGGGGCTTGTTGTGTCACGCAGCTGCAAGGTTGTAGAGCAAGTGTGTGAAGAGCATCATTTTGATCCCCAGGGCTGAAGAAGAGCTCGCTGGGAAAGCTATGGTTTGAGTTTTAAAAAGCAAGGTAGATGGTTTAAGTCAGTGTCTCTCAACCTTGGGAACTTTAAGATGCGTGGACTTCAACTCCCAGAATTCCCCAGCCAGTACAAAACAGAGCATAAAGAGTTGTTTTTCAATGAGATGGGCAGTGACAAATTTGATATATAAATAAATGAATGAATGAATGTTAGGGAAACTTGGTCTAAGATGATAATGATGATGATTTATTTTCTGTGACCAACTGTTGGTTTTTTTAACAAAAGTTTTGGCTAACATTGCTTTTTAAAACGCTTCTTTTAATGTGATGTCGTTGTTTTAATGGGTTGTGAGGTGCCCAGAGTCACACTGGCGAAAGCGGCAGCCATCTAAATCAATTAAATAAATGGGGTTGGTAGTGGTGATATGTACTTTCTCCCCCCCGCCGTCCCACCTTCTCCCTTTCCCAGCGTACACTTACATGCCCATTGTCATCCAATAAATTGTTCGTCAGCTTCAATTTATCGAAGGAGACAATCTGCTTCATCCACTGAGCCCCCCTTGCTGGAGAATCCGGGTGGTAGTGCACCCTCCCGGGTGTAGCAGGATCGGCTTTGCCAGCCACCAGCCAAGAGGAGCTGTGAAACGCGTATCTGTGGGGAGCAGAAACGCCAGGAACTGGGTTCACTGGGGATGCTTGGATAGGAGACCACCAGAAAATCCCAGGGGCGTAAGCTTGATGGGGTGTTGACCTCACGGGGTAAACCAGATAGGAATCACAACCAGATGAGCCATTTCTACTTTATTGTAAAGCTACATGGACAGAATCTTGCAAGTCTGAAAGTACAAATCTCCCTCCGTCTCCTTTACAGCCTGAGAAACTAGGGAGGGTCCCTTCTGAGCCTCTTGCCTCACCCACTATCTAGCTACAGGCTATGCTGTCTCTTATCTGACTGTTCCCTTGGAAGCATCTCTTTGCCTGTCTCCCAAGGTCTTTCCTACATACCATTAGACTGGGACATTGAAAAAACATTTTGCAGAGGAACACAAGGCCAAAACCACCATCACCCAAAAAACTACCCTGAGATGTCACCAAGAACCACCCTTTTAAAGGAAGGAACTCCAGCAGAGATCCGAAGGCGATTCTAACAGTAGCATGGCCACGTGTGAAGGAAGCAACTATGATCTCTTTGGCTGTTCCTGCACACCGATAGAGCTTACCATCTTATGCAAACTTAGTCCCTGTGCTTCATTTCTGAGTCTGCAACTGCATTCACACAACCCTTTGACTGGGTTGGTGAAATCCAGGTGGCCTGCTAAGTTTGCTCGATTTCTCCCTCATGCTTTTGTGGATTCCATGAATCCAGCCGGAGTGCTTCACTTGCGGCCCAGGTGTTGTGTAAACCTGAACACTGGGTTGAGGCCACAACGTGGCTGCCCGAAGACGCAACCACAGGAGGGCTACCTTGAAATCTGGAGGACTCTTCCTTTCCATCCAACCCCCACGCCAGCATCCTCCTCCCCAGATCCCAAGGAGATTCTAGAGCCCAGACGTCCCAGACAAGGGTTTATTTAAAAAGTAGGTTTAGATGGAGGGTGGAGGCTCCTGAGCCGAGGCTGAACAGAAACAAACGAGGAACCGAGCAAGCTGAGAAGGAAGGTGGGGCGCCTCAGGCGAAATCCTCATTGCATGCAATAGATCCCATTTCCTTTGACAAGCAAACATTTTTGAACCCCTCCGGGAAGCTGGTGCACTGCCTAAATATTTACCTCATTATTAGTGTGGAGCAAGGAGCTTGAAGGGGATTGCAGTGGGAAGGGGGCATAGGAGGGGGGAAGCGACATCGTCATGTGCAATCACACAGTTAGTGTCATCTGTGCAATGAGGTCACAGCACCCATGAGGTCATCGTGGCTTCTCTTTAACCCCAAAATATTTGGAAATCAAGGAGGAGGAAAGCAGGCCATACTAGCTTTGTTCCAGAGAGAATTGTGCTGTGTGCATGTGTGTATATGTGTAAGGAAGGTTGGTGCGAGAAGTGATACTGACTGATTTTCCAAAAAATACATGTAGCACAATCCTATGAATATTCTCCTCTCTCACACACACTCAATTTTGCCAAAAGTTACCAGCTACCCTTAACCTGGTCAGTAAAAGTTGTGGTGGCTGTGTTCACAGGACACATGAAACTCAACTGATGTTCAACTGTGTGTGTGTATGCGTGTCATGAGAACCCTGAGTGTTTGGTGAGTTTAAGGTTAAGGTTAAGGAATCAGGTATGGTCAAAAAAGTAGGTGGATTTCATAGCTAGATCAAGCATGATGTGTGAATGTGAATATGAATTATGTGTCACGTCGTGCTGGGAATTATGGGAACTGGAGTCCAACACATCTGGAGAGCGCACAGTGGGAAAGGCTGTAGTGTAGGTAAACGGAGGGAGGGAGGGATGAGAGAGAGAGAAAAAGAAAGAAAGAAAGAAAGAAAGAAAGAAAGAAAGAAAGCTGACAAATGAGTGAAGCCTCAGAGCAAAAAAATGATTTAAAAAAAAAAAAAGCAACAAAGTCAGAGATTTAATTCCCTGCTCTTCCTTCCTTCCTTCCTTCGTTCCTTCCTTCCCTCCTTCCCTCCCTCTTTCCTTTTTTTCTCTTTTTCCCTCCCCCTCTCTTCCCCTCTCTTTTTTTTTTTCTTTCTTTTTCTCTCTCTCTCATCCCTCCCTCCCTCCGTTTACCTACACTACAGCCTTTCCCACTGTGCGCAGAAAGAAAGAAAGAAAGAAAGAAAGAAAGAAAGAAAGAAAGAAAGAAAGACAGGTCTTTCTACTAAACCTGTTTAAAAGATGGCTTGAAGGCATTCTTGGTTTTAAACCGAGAACAAAATTGGAGATAATCGCTGACAAATGAGTGAAGCCTCAGAGCAAAATAATGATTTAAAAAAAAAAAAAGCAACAAAGTCAGAGATTTAATTCCCTGCTCCTAAATTGCAGCTTCTTGGCGTGAGAGAGAGGGCAACCGGGAGAGTGAGTTTGGACTTGCTTTTGAGAGAGAAGCAGCTATGTGGATGGAGTAGAACGGGGAAGAACAAACCTAGG